AATCCTGATATGATTAATCCTATAAGATAGCAACAGTTAATAGCTATTGCAAGAACATTATCAATAGCAATCACGATAATGCATCTACCGTTACATAAAACAACAACAGCAACAACAACAAAAACAATGACACTCACTTTGATAATCACGATAATGCATCTACCGTTACATAAAACAACAACAACAACAACAAAAATAACAATGACACTCACTTCAAATCCCTTCCTCCAATCTTCCTTATCGGCGAACCAGTCACCTCAGAACAGGAATAAGTTCTTGAGGACGCGGTTCCACAACCACTCCCGATACCGCTGGTTCAGGTTCAGAAACCATCCTAGGGGAGTTGGGGGGAAATAATTCTCATCGGGGAGGGTTTCCTTGGTGGAGGTTTCGAGAAGAGGATTTTCCTTATTAGGGATTTCAGTATCCGAACGGTGGGATCTTTTTTTAATGGGGGTTTCAGTATCCGGATGTAGGGACCTTTTTTTAATAGAGGTTTCAGTATCCGAACGGTGGGATCTTTTTTTGATAGAGGTTTCAGTATCCGGATGTAGGGATTTTTTTTAATGGGGGTTTCAGTATCCGAACGTAGGACCTTTTTTTAATAGAGGTTTCAGTATCCGAACGTAGGGACCTTTCCTTATTAGAGGTTTCAGTATCCGAACGTTGGGACCTTTTTTTAATAGAGGTTTCAGTATCCGAACGGTGGGACCTTTTTTTTATAGAGGTTTCAGTATCCGGATGTAGGGACCTTTCTTTAATAGAGTTTCAGTATCCGAACGTTGGACCTTTCTTTAATAGAGGTTTCAGTATCCGGACGGAGGGACCTTTCCTTAATAGAGGTTTCAGTATCCGAACGTAGGGACCTTTCCTTAATAGAGGTTTCAGTATCCGAACGGGAGAATAGAGGTTTCAGTATCCGAACGTGGGACCTTTTTTTATAGAGGTTTCAGTATCCGGATGTAGGGACCTTTTTTAATAGAGGTTTCAGTATCCGAACGGGGACCTTTTTTAATAGAGGTTTCAGTATCCGATGGACCTTTCCTTAATAGAGGTTTCAGTATCCGGTGTAGGGACCTTTTCCTTAATAGAGGTTTCAGTATCCGGACGTGGAGAGGTTTCGGCTGTGGAGGTTTTGTAGGTTTCCGGATGGGTTTCTCGTTTGTCTCGTGGGCGGGCAGCGTGGGCGGGGGTTGGGGCGGAGTCTGGGGTGAGAGGGAGTATTTTGGTGAATAAGGATGATATTGATGAGAGAAATAAGCATGATGATGATAATAATTCATCATAATTGTAATGATGATAGCAATGATAATAATGATAAATTGAGGATATTGACAATAGTAATATTAATAAGAGACTGATCATGCTAGTGATAGTAATGACAATAATAATGATAGTAATAAAGATGATAATGATAATAACCACAATGATAATAATAATATTTCTGATAATGATAATGATAATGATTACAGTTATTACAAGAATAATGATAATAATAATGATAATGATAATATAAGGAAAATTATTATAATGATGATTAACAATAATGATAAATATAATAATATAATACAATTCTTATTCCTTTCACTATTATCAGTACTAATACTATAGTAATAATAACAATAACAAAAAGAATAACAACAATAATGAAAATGATAGTGACAATGATGATAATAATAACAGCAATAGTGCTGAGTATCTTAAGAATTAATGAATAATTTTAACAAAAGAAAAGTTGAAATTACAAACTGAGACTCAATCACACACCAATTTTCATTTAAACGATACACAAAATAAACAAATAAAAGAAAAAACTACATTTCATTCGTTCACGTGCAACAAACAACAAACAGACTGACCCTGATTGCAATATCAACGATAAAATTAACAGTTGCTTTGATCATTACCAGCGAGATTGTCTATGTTCGAGGCCTCAAGTGTGAAGCAGTTACGCTCATTCCGGGGCCTTTGTTGTGTCACGTGGCTGTAGGGAGAAAGGGAAGGTTTAATAACACGAAAAGGTTTCTAAATCTATTGGTATTTGTTTGTTTGGGTGTAAGTGTGGGTGTGTTTGTGTTCATGTGTCTGCTTGTGTGAATGCGTGTAGGGAGGGGAGATTTTGTCTGTCTGTATGCCTTTCTTTGTCTGTCTGTCTCTGCCTGTCTTTCTGTCTTTCTCTGTTCTCTCTCTCCCTCCTTCCCTCTCTCTCTATCTCTTTTCTCTCTCATATTATACATATATATGTGTGTGTGTGCTATATATATATATATATATATATATATATATATATATATATATATATATTGTATATGCCGCCTCCTTTTATATGGGTCAGCGTCGGCGGGGTGGCAGAGGTGGCGTCACTCGGAGTAACTGCCCAAGGCTAAACCTCAGGCGGGGAAGTCAGGTGGGGGTTTGGAACGCCGTTCTTTGCGTCAGGATGATCGGGGAGGCTGAGAGTTGGGGTGGCTGCTCTCTCGGAGAGCTACACGATCACCTA